ATACCCAGATTGCGAGGGAGAGGGGGACAGGAAATCAGCAACCGGTTTTCCTTTAAAGTGGGACAGAGCAAAAACTGAAGGGAATAAAGTCTTTAAAGAAGAGTCACCCACCCAAACATCTTCCCAAAATTTGACTTTGTTACCTGAGTTGAGATCAAACCTGACATGATCGAGGAACAATGGGAGGAGTTTGTGAATCGCTTTCCACGGTGAAGCACTAGAAACCTTATAAGACACTCCAGCACCCCAACCATTTTCAGAGAGCCCATGAATACTAGTCACAATTTTGTGCCACAACCTATCTGTTTCTTGTGGGAACCTCCATAACCACTTTCCTAGTAGAGACTCATTCTTTTCCTTCAACCTTCCTAACCCCAATCCTCCAAATTCTTTCCTCCTAGTTACAAGATCCCATCTTACTAAATGATCCATCTTCTTCTCGCCCGGTTCCCACAAGAAATCCCTCATTATTCTCTCTAATTTCTTTCTCACAGCTTGAGGCAAACTAAACACCGAGAGGTAGTAAACTAGAAGGTTTGCTAGGGTAGACTTGATAAGAGTAATCCTTCCCCCCAAAGAGATATAATTCCTCTTCCACACCGCAAGTTTCTTTTCAAACCTTTCCACAACCGGATTCCAAAAATCTATGCTTCTAAGATTTGCACCAAGGGGGAGCCCTAAATACTTGAGTGGCCACTCACTGCTTAAACATCCTTGTTCCTCGGCCCAGACATTAAGCTCTTCTGGTGCTAAATTGATCCCTACCACCTGGCTCTTGTGGAGATTCACTCTTAGATTTGTCACTTTTTCAAAGAGTTTTACCAACATTCTCAGATTTTTTGCCCCTAACTCATCACCAGCCTCACAGAAGATAATGATGTCATCCGCGAATTGTAGATGAGTTAGCACCACCCTCTCCTTTCCTACTTTCCAACCCCTTAACAATCCTACCTTGCCTTCGAGATCAATCTGCTAAAGACCTCAGCTAAAATGGTGAAGAGGAAAGGGGACAAAGGGTCCCCTTGTCTCACACCTCTTAGTGCACCAAAGAAGTCTTTAACTACACCACTCACCAACACCGAAAAATGGGAAGATTGAAGACATCCTTTAATCCATATACACCATCTTGCCCCAAAACCACACTTCCTCAAAGCTTAAACTAAGAACTCCCAATCCACCAAGTCATAGGCTTTCTCTAGATCTAATTTACACACAATGCCCTTCCTTCGCTACCTTGAAATCCTCCACACACTCATTGGCAATGAGTATTTGATCTGAAATTTGTCTATCTTGGATGAAGGCCCCTTGAAAATGAGATATGATTGACGAGAGGGCCTTTTTTAACCGAATAGAGAGGACTTTTGCAAGGATTTTATACTGACTTGTCACCAGGCTGATTGGCCTAAAATCCTTAGGGTGGCAGGCACCAGATTTCTTGGGAACCAACGCAATGAAAGTGGCATTTACCCCTTTACTGACAATCCCCCTATCACAAAACTCCACAAAGACTCGCATCAAATCATCCTTTAGCCATTCCCAACAATCCTGGTAGAAAGCAATAGTGAATCCATCGGGCCCGGGAGCTTTAGAGCGGTCCATGGAAAAAACTGCTTCCTTCACCTCATCTAATTCAAAATTTCTCTCCAGACTCCTACTAACGGCAGCTTCTAGGACTGGCCAATCAAAACCTCCCAACTTCCATCTTTCTGAGATAGGCCTTCTTAAGATTGATTTAAAATGATCCACCAAAGACTCTGCAATCTCGTCATGATTAGTTAAAGTGCGACCCTCCAATTCTAACATAGAGATCAAATTCTTCCTTTTTCTCCCATTCGCAACCATGTGAAAATATTTTGCATTCCCATCCCCTTCTTTGATCCAGCGCACTCTTGATTTCCACCTCCAAGTCATTTCTCCTCTAAGGAGTGTAGAATCCAGCTCTTTTCTTAAATTAAATCTCTCCTCTCTTTCTCCTACACCCAATGAGCCAGATACCTCCTTTTTATTTAATTCTTCAATCCTGTTTATAAGAGAAGCCTTCCTCTCTTCTATCCTCCTGAACTTATTCAGATTCCACTCCTTGATTTATGCTTTTAAATTCCGAAGCTTCCTTCGAAATCTAATCCCTTCCCACACAACTTGGGGGTTATCTTCCTTCCACCACTCCTCAACCTTACACATAAACTCCAGGACCGTTAACCACATGTTCTCAAATCTAAAAGGCATCAGCCCTTCGTCGTTCAACCCTTGTCCAATACATATCGGCCAGTGATCTGAGGTGACCCTAGGCAGCGTCCTGCCCACCATGTTACTCCAATGTTGCTCCCAGTCCAAAGACACAAGAAACCTATCCAACTTTGAGCACATCGGGTTCTCCTGACAGTTAGTCTAGGTATATCTATATTGTCCAGTCCCGATTTCCTTCAGTTCAAATGTGTCTATAAAATTATTATATCTTTCCATACTAGTGGTTATCCTTTGTCTTAGATTGTTCGATTCGGCAGTATGTCTGATCACATTAAAATCCCCCCAAGCACCACGGGCCTTGCCACAAACCTCTCACATCTGCCAATTTTTCCCACATCTCATTCCTTTCCCTATACGAATTAGGCCCATAAACATTCGTCAACACCCAGTTAAAATTATCATCCAAATTCTGCAATTTTAGCGACACTAAGAGCCAACCTATTTGTTCCTCCAAACATTCCACCGTATTCTCATTCCACATAGTGACTATTCCTCCTAATGCACCACACGACAGAGCCATTGTCCAACCTATGTCTCTACCTCCCCAAACACTTCTTACCCACCTTCTATCAATCTCTTGTGCCTTAGACTCTTGGAACATCACCACATCTGGTTTTTCTCTACTTAACACTTCCTTTACGATTCTTCTTTTTGCTACCCTCCCCAACCCTCTAACATTCCAGCTTAAGATCTTCATATCATCATCACAGCATTTACCCCAATTTGTCTTTAATCTTCATCATGTCCTTCCACCTATCCCACCACCCCTCACCCTCTTACCACACCCTCCTCTCTGTTTTTTCAGATCCCTTACCCGCCTCTTGTCTAGTTTTTCCTTCTCAATCAGCCCCTTCTTCTGAGACTTGTCTGGGCCTAAATGCGAAAGTTTCAGCCCCAACTTCTCAGCCCACTTCCTTAGCGTTAACTCCTCATCAGATTCACCCTCCCCCTAATCCTCAACTTCCTTCTCTCTATCTTCTACCATCCTTGTTTTCCTGCCATCATCCTCTCTGCTATCCCCCACAACATCAGTTGTTGCAACCTCCCCCACCACATCCCTAGCTCCCCCGACAGTCTGGGCACCTACAATATTTTGAGGCTCTCTGTGAAAATGGTTCTCGGTTGTAGTGTCTGCAAGGATAGCACAATCACCATTAGTAACCTTCACACAGTTACCTTGGATACCTGGTAAACCTAGAATGAAAATAGGATGACTCAGTGAGGGCATACAGATGGCATCCCCAGATCCTGACTTAGTGAGTGTTGCTGGTTGGTCAATTTCTTTCTGAATCAAATGGCCATGGCCTGGATCTGGCACTTTAACCTTGATTGGTGCATTAGCGTTTATCTCCTGGCTCACCTCACTCAATCCTAAAGATGCTCCCTGACATTATCTATAGCTTTGGTTTGGTTCCTCCTCCTTTGACGGCAAGTTTTCTACAGCACCTGAAGACCTTATGGCTGTCAGAAGTTCCAGACTAGACTAAATCTGACCAGCTTGATCGTCTAGATTAAGCTTAAAAAAAGCTTCCATGTCGCCCAGCTCCAATTCCAAACCTTGGTCGCAACTAGCTAAGGAGTTTTCACCCGAACTAGAAAACTCTAATTCTTCCTCCGTGTCACACCAATCTAACTCGCTAACTATCTGTGTATTAGTTCTCCGCCGAGAAAATCTTGGATTAGGGTGCTCTGTCACCCTCTTTGGCCATGGGTTCCATCTCAAATCGCCCCCATTCTGCCTCCTGTTCGAAGTCAGAGAAGAAGACGATGATAGACCCTTGGTTCTGTTTATCAAAGGTCCCACGGGTTGCCTCACGTGATGACTTAAAGCATCATGTGACACCTTTGTCCTATTTTCTGTTCAGTGGGCCGAGTTGAACAGGTTTGAGCCGACTCGGACCACTGGCTCGTCTAAGGTCTGGTCGATTAATTTACTCCCTAGTGGGCCCACCCCATTCTCTACTCCAGCCCCATTCATTAATATCTCTTTAAAAGAGAAATCTCCCACTTCCCTAACCCCATTTTTTGAATACATTTCTTTTTCTAGAATCCGACCCTTCCAGACTATTGGCTTTTCAACTTCCTTAGCAGTACATAAATTACCATGTTTCTTACGCAACTGTCTTGCGCCTTCTCTGTCGCCACCACGTGTCACCCAACAAGCCACGTCACCATCTTCTTCAACCTTCGAACTCCCATTCCACAATGCTGCTTCCAACTCCGACGCTACCCATATCTTGCTCCATGAGCCCTTAACTAACAGTTCGAACGACCGAGGTACTGTGTCAGGCTTCACTCCTGCAATTCACAATCCAGCAGCCTTCAGATCTGTTTTCTTGTAGGAGATGAAAACACCACCCAACGCAGCTGCAATTTTCTCCAGCAGGCACTTTCGCCATTGATTGAAAGGTAGGCCAACCAGCTTCAACCAAAAGTCACCATTGTTGAAAGTCTTCAAGTTACAGCAAGGACACCAGTTCTCCACCATTATAATGCCCTCCTTGGTTTGAACTGTGGTGAAACCTACCTTCTCCAACCCCACATCCAGTATCGCCTTGTTCTCTTCAAATGGTATGAGGATGATCGTTTGCTTCAACCCCAACTTCTTGGAAATTTCTTCCTGGGCATGTTTCCAATCTCCCGCTTTGTTCTTCGCAGAGAGGACTAGTTTCCTCCTCCAGTCTTCACTTTCTCCTTCCAACAATATCTTGGGAACAGGAGTGGAGAGGGAGACCAATGTGTTCTCATTTTCCTCTGTATCAATTTCTAACCCCAACTTCTCCAGTCTTTTCCTTCTCTCCTTCATTTCCTCCTTCGGCCCCACCTTTCTCTCCATCATTCTATCTTCTTCTTGCTTTTGCTTCTCCACCTACCCTTGAAACTCTATTCTTCGAACGCTAGTGACAAATCGATGCAATTCATTAGCAAACCCGATCCAACCCCCCATATTTTTGCCTTCAAGTATAATAATCATCTGTTTTCTCCCCTTTTCAAATCTCTCTTCCAAGGTCACAAACCAGCCTCTTGAGTTCCTTCTTCTACTTGCCAAATATTCTTTGCTAGGTGTTTTGAAGTTATCCCTCCAGTTCGAGCACCAACTGACATTCACTGCTCCATCGGGGAAGGTTTGGAACCAAAATATCGCCTCCCCCACCAGAAAAATTGTCCCTCTTCTACCTTCCCTAATCTTCAATGCGAAAACCTTATGATGAAGCATCTCCTCCACCAGCAGTTCTTTGGATTCCACCTTTAAGAGCCTTCTCCTTTTCCTTACTGGTGAAAACTCTCCTTCTCCAGCACGAACCATCTTCCTCGTTGGGAGAGATTCTTTTGCCTTGGCCTAGGAGAGGAAAAATCCTCAAGCTTAATTCTTTCAAACCACTAACCACTAAAAGAAGAAGAGAAAAAAGGACATCAAGGATAACAATAACAGAAAGCAAGCTCTAGGATATACATGCTTCTCTCTTCTGTCTGATTTTAGGACTCGCTATTTTTATTTTTTGTTGATTGGTAACTTTGGACTCACTATTTTATTGATAATCACTGTTGCACCTTGACAATCGAGCACATTAATTAACTAGGCTTGATGACATCTATTGCTTAACCTATAACACAAATAGATACACACAAAATGCCATAATAACAAAGAGAAGTCTTCCAAAAAACAGTTACTTTAACCAAGAAGAGAGAGAATATCCCACAAATAGATGCACAACATTTTAACCCCCACAAAACAACTTGGACAATAAAATGACGCCAAATCCGTGAAGGGTTTTATGATAGATAAATAGGTGGCAAGTTGTTGCGGTACCTGTTCTTTCTTGGAGCATGGAAAATATATAAACCTTATTGATCAAAAAAAATATAGAAACCTTTTAAAGAGCAACCTCCGAAGCAAATGTTTAGTCTTTAGGAGAAGTGACCAGGTCCAGTGAGCGAAGGCTTTAAATGGTGGTTGGAGGTGTTGGATTTAGCATTAGCAAAGGTGCCCATTGAAGCCAAAAACGTTAGAAGCTTCAATAATTTCTGCCTAAAGACATCCATGGAAGGGGAGAGAGATTGAAACCACAAAGGTTGTGAGCTTCCAATGTTCTCGTCCTTAACAATGAAAAATAACGTGCTCAATATAATCAAAGCAGCTGTGGAAACTGAGTTACAAGTCCCCCTTTAGATAACACCTTTCATCAAAGAGAAATCCCATATATACAACGAAATATGCTTTCCTCGAATTCGTGATACGGTTATCAGGAAAGAAAATAAATTAATAAATAAACAACGCGCACCAAATATAATAAGAAATTGAAACAATGACAAAAATTTTAAGTCATTATCTACATTCCAATTTTTTTTAGATAAAATCAGCACCATTATCATGGTATACAGAGACCTAAAACAAATAAAGACGAACAAATTCTGCCTTTCGTCTATCAAAGTAGAAAATTGAAGGAATAAAAAATAGAAAAAGATTACCTCCGAAGAACACCATAAACTCGAAATTCATCTTCGAGTTCTCTTTCTGTAACTCTCGGATCCAAGTTCCCAACATATACTCGAGACATTATTATGCCAGACCAACTGTAGCCTAACGATCGAAGAAAAAGGGCATGAAATTTACACAAGCCTCGCAAGATAACAGTAACCCTCTCTGACGAGGACGAAAGAGCTAGGGTTTTCTTGATTGTTTACATGCAAGCCCGCAAAAGAAATGCAATTCAAATCACATACAAGAAATTCCGAGCTTACCACGAAAGAAAACAATAGGGTTTTAGTTTCAATCAACAAGAATACGCGCGAAGGACTCTGAAAATGGTAATTTTGAGACGGAGCTACTGAAAATCTGAAATACGAATAACTTCCAAGTTGTACGGATTTTTTAAAGCTGCTAATGGGTTGAATGATCCGCTTTCGCTCCCGGCTCCCGTTTAAAAGGAAAAGGAGAAAAGGCTCTTTTGACGGTGGATAATATCACCATGCTACCCATAAAGACGCTACCACACGTACTCACATTACCCGTACATTGGGCTTTAGTTTGGAAGAATATAAATTCAAATATGTATTTTTATTATTTTATATGTATTTATATTTGTATTCTTTCTAAACCGAGCCTTCAAAACATTTTTACATGAATGACGTATGAGATGTTCTCGTTGTACGGCGGTAATATCTTGTCTAGCTTGTGGGCACAGTTGTTATTTGTTAAGACTTAAGAGCAGATCCGGATACCGGATTCGTCCATGTATCGAAATTGCGTTTGGCGCGTTTAAACCTTAAATTGTAGATACTCTACTTAAAAATGTATTACTTAACCCGTACTAAGTACAGGGCCAATAATATGAAGTATTTCAAATTTTCATTTTTTAAATCATTTATATTAAAAACTTAATTTTTTATTTGACGTAAGAGAGTTACCATATTTTATCTAAGAAATGACCATGTACTAAATACAAAGCAATCACACATGTATCATTTTGATTTTTACTTTTTTTATTTATTATAATAATATTATTTTATTTGAATTTCACTATATTATAAATAAAATAATATTACTATAAATAGTATTAGGTACTATAAATAATCTTAGCTAAGCTACTCGAGAAGCCACCAAATGAACTTCAACAAAGAACTGCTTGAATGACTATAGAATTAATTGCAATTTTGGGCTTTGTGTTTTTTCCAAGCATTTTTTTTCTAGAGAAATTATATTATGTCTTTATCTTTCAAATCTTCCCACCAACTACCGATATGAGATATCTAGGGCTGTTCATGGGTCAGTTTATTGAGATTTTTTCAACCGACCCGACCTGGTCGGGTTACCTAAAATTGAAATTGAAACCGACCCTGTGTTAAGTAAAATCGACCTGGTCGGTTTGAGTCAGTTTGGGTCGATTTCAACTCTAAGTTCAACCATGGTAATAAATTGATAAATTGGGTGTCAGAAAAGTAGCTAACAACATCATCCATCAAGGAAAGCACATAAATTAAGAGAAAACAGGCCAATAACTTTGTGAAGCAAGAATACCCCCCATGTGCCTGTGTGGTACAAGTTTGGGTTGTAACTAGGAATTAACTATTAAGTTGGTTCGGTTTGGGTCGGTTTTGATTTTGACATATAAAAACCGAAACCGACCGGTGCTAAAGAAAACCCAACCGACTTGAATTGGGTCGGACCGGATTGATCGGGTTGGGTCTTCTTATGAACAGCCCTAGAGATATCAATTAATCTGCTCTCCTCATTGCTCAAATGAGCAGCAACACCTAACCACCAATAAATGGCGCATAATCTAAATACATTTCTATTTTTAAACCATTTTTCATCTGATAGGATAGGAATTTCACGGTGTTAGATGAATTCTGAATAACCTTGGAAAGAACCTTGTTGAGTTTGATAGTAGCAAGTTTTAGAAACCTATAGACTGGGTGTTTGAGTGCAACGGTTGTTCAAATCTAAGTCGGGAATTAGAACCCCTTGTTTGTACGGTCAAAGTGGAAAAATAAAAACATAAAAAGATAATTCAACTAATAACTAACAAAAGAAATAGGGAAAATTAAAATAAAGATGAGAATAATAACATGGAAAAAAATTTAACATCTGGTGTGAAAAATATATAGTTGGTAATGAATCCAATATGATAAGATCATAAAACAATACACACATCTGAGTGATTAGTAGTAAGTAATTTTAAAAAGTAATATACATGCGCATGTTCTACGATTGGATTGGATTAAAAACCAAACAGAGAAATAATGCATTTCACATCACAACCTAGACAACAAAACCAATGTTCAGAAACAATTGAAGAAAAACCAACGTTTGAAACAAATCCATCAAAGAAAAAAAAAAGGTTTCTCAAAAGCAGTAGAAAGAGAGAGGAGAAATGATGCCTGTTTATTTGCCATCCTTTGACAAAGCATCACACAACAATAAATGGGCGATATCCCCACCACTTTCCAAATTTAAAGTGACCCATAAAATGAGCTAATTCATGTCAACTTCTTCTGTCAAAAGAAAAGTCACACTTGAGGCTAATGGTAATACTCTTCAGGTAAAATGTCTTTGAGCCAAGACAAAGATGACCTCCATAACCTAGATTTCAAAACCCTCTTTTAATTTTTAGAGAATCTACCCATGAGGTTTTACGGTCACAAAATTCACTTATGGGATCTTTTTGCTAAAAATTTATACCATTTAAGATATCACATGCCTCATGTTCAAATGATAGAATCACAATTCCAAAAGAAGCATGCGAAAAAAGCTTGGTTGATTGCCTAAAATTCTACAGTTTCTGCGTTGGACTCTCTCACCAAAATCAACCTTAAGGCAAAATGCAGAAACTTGTGGGATTTGATTAAAAGTCAATTTAAAGTGGAATTGATGAATTCAGAGTCAAGTCTACATCTGTCTAATGCTTACCTTTCCAGTTCATTTGGACATCAACCAAAGACATCCAAGTAAAACGTAGAGATGTAGATTTAAATGGCGGAGATCTGAGGTTGAATTTCTGGTTTTCTCCTCTTTTTGATATTCTCTATTTCTTCTGCATTTATAGGAGAAGTAGGGTCATTACATTATTTCAGTTTCTGAGTTGACTTCATTGAAAAGAGTGAACTATTTATTGTAATCCAAATTTTTTATGTTTTCTTACAATTCTTTTCTAAAGAAACAATCAATTTCGGAATTCATTCAAAAGACTGAACTGGTACTACATTTTATATTTTCTCTTAATCATGGCGACCACTTTTACGTACTCATATTCATTGTAATCCTTTTGCAAAGAAGCAGAATTTGAGTTCTCACTCTATGCAGTCCAACGAAAATGAAGAAAGAAAAATGTGAACACCTTTTTAAAGCACGAAAGTAAAAATGTATGTTTCTTCCTTAAGCAAATCTTTTTGACAACAAGACAGCAAGATGGATTGGATTCATTGTAAATTGGAATGGATTCCTGAGCAGACCCTTAGCTATGTTTGGTTTGAAGGAAAAAGTAGGAAAGAGAAGGGAAAGGCAGAGAAACTTTTACAAACTTTGTATAAATTTTCATACATTTCCCTTTCTTTCTCTACCTTTTTCTTCAAATCAAACATAACCTAATGATTAAGATTGAAAAGAGGGAAAATTCGATTTCGTGAGAATGAGTAGAAAGTAGGGAAAATATAGTTAGATTTTGGAAAAATGAAAGCTTGAGAACTGAAGATAGATGATTTCTAGAGATTAAAAGAGAGAATATAATGGAGAAAACATAAATTATTTTGAGTAAAATTCAATTACAAATGGACGTGGGTTTGTGGGTGGAAACGTGTCCAAACCAAAGAGTATCTACTTTTTTAATGTTGCCCCTATTAGATGCTACATGGCTTACTACCCACTCTCACGTTCTAAGATACTAACCACTTTAAATCTTTTTGAGGAGTGGATCGACTTCTCTTTTTGAGGAGTAGCTCGCTTAAGGGGGAAGTCACTCGGTAAGTCAGGTAAGTCACTAATCAAAAACAGGTCAAATCGGTGGAAGCAGGTTACCTCTTACTTCGATTTGAGTTATTGCCTAGTTGTTCGCAGTTCAGTTTACCAGGGTGGTGTCGAGGTCATTGATGCAGTTGTGAAATGTCCGAAGTGCTCATAGGGTCTATTTACGTGATGCCGTGTAGGGGTGTCCATGAAAAACCGAAAAATCGAACCGCAAAATGCGATTAATCGAATCGATCGGTTTTGTTTTCGGTTAACCTACAAAAAAACCGATGGTTAACCGAACCGACCGGTATATATATTTATATGTATATTTTATATATTTTTTTAATATATGTCACATATTTTCTACGCATTATATATATATATATACTTATATTATATTTATAATTATCTATTTATAAATATATTATATATTTTTAAAATAGTTATAATATATTATATATCATTTATTATTTATAATATAATATTATACATATATTTTTATAATATATATTATAAATATAAAAAACCAAAAAATCGAAGAAGTAAACCGGTCAAAAACTAAAATTGGCAGACCGGTTAACCGGTGGTACCGGTTTGGTTTCGGTTTGGCAAAATGGAAAAACCAGTACCATCGGTTTGGTTTACAAAAAAGGGCCATGGTTCGATTAACCAAACCGTGGACACCCCTAGTGTTGTGGTGTCATTCCATTTTTTTCTTTTTTTTTTTAGATAAATGGTGTCATTCTATTATTCTATAATATTACGTGTTGTTATATCATTGGAGGGCCAAATTATCTCTCATAAGTATTTATTTTATATAACCTTAGAAGTTTACACATAAGTTGAGGTTTTATAAAATAGAACATAAAAACAAACTTTTATTTTAGGGGGCGTTCTTTTTTCAGATTTTGAGAGGTGGGTGGGGGGGGGGAGTTGGTATCCCATTGACCAAGAATCTCATGTTCTTTTTTCATATTTATGTGGGGATCAGGGAAAGTTAATTTTCCTTTCCCACCTAGGGGGAAAGTTGCCAACACTTGAATGAGACAAAAATGCCCTTTTAATAATGGACTTTTATGGCTAAAATAGCCATTGCCTTATTTACATGATAAATAAAAAGAACATGGGTAAATGCACTTACCTGGGTAAATGTTTCCTAGGAAAAACTTACCCAGGTAACTGCATTTACCCGGGTAACTAACATACCGAAAAACAAACGAGACCTTAGAACTAGGATTTATTGGTATTAAATGGTCTACATCCATATTTACTAGTATGCAATGCACTAAATTATATCTTTATATTGCCATGTAGGATGACTACTAAAATCAGGTGAGTGGACTTTTTTTTTTAAATGGGCAGCCATAGACAGCCAATGGAATAATAGTAAACATTGATTTGATATTTCCCCAACACCCCTAGTTTATGTTTCTTGAAAAACGTTTTATAATCGTTTGATAGATGCAACTATGGTTATTGCATCCTCTT